GATGATGCAAAGTTTTAGAGACGGATGGTGGTGGCGGCTGCACAGCATTGTCTGCTTAAAAATCGCTAAAAACAGTAAGTTTTATGTTCCTTGATTTGACCACAATGAAGTCAAAAAAAAAAAAAAGGAGGGGGAGCAGAAGAGCAATATTATAGAAACCATTCTTCTAAAGTGGAGAGACCTAACATTTCACTGAGTACAGAACTGAGAGCTGGGCTCTGTACTAGGAATTGAATAGAACTTTCTTTGTAAACCTTATCGTGACAACACAAGTGGGTGTGGCTGGTCCCAGGTCATAACAGGAGAAATGGAGACGCAGGGTTCTTTCCTAGTTGCCTGGTACGTGAAGATCTGCCAGTAGACCCCAGGTCTTTCTGAACTTAACCATGAGTTAGATGTCTGGGACTAAAGGAAAGCTGGAAAAATTGGGGCAAAATGGTCTTGGTTTTGGTTTTGGCCCAGAGGACCCCTTTAGTCATGTTGCTTTTTATATTTTTTTCCCTGGGCCCCCACTCTTCTCCTTGACCTTGGAGGGGCAGTGGTTGCCAGCAGAGCATAGGAGCTAGAGAAGTGTCGGGGTGGGGGTATGGTTCCTTGGGACCCACCTCCTTGGAGAGTCCAGAGCTTGTGCTTTGTCACAAATGCCTGGGCAATGAGCATGTACTACAGGTGCGCCACGTTCTGGCCGTGCTATCTGCGCCACACAGGAGGTGTTTCAGGCCCAGATAGGCTGGATCCTCCCTAATCGCCCTGGCCAGCTCCATACCCCAGCATCACCCTCACAGCGCCCCAAATCGCCCCCGGCACTGCTTCCTGGGCGGGGCCTGGGGCCAGGCCTGGGCCTGATCATGTCCTGCTGTCCTTCTCATGTTTGATTTCTGCCTTTCTCTTCCCCTCCCCTAGTTTTGCCTTCCTCTGGCTTCCCCTTTGATGAGGCCGCTCTTTTGCTACTACAAATGGAAACTCACCCATCCTGCCTTTTTCTTCAGCATTCTTGTTGAGTTGTCATCATGCTGGAAGTGTTTCTTGGTCACTCTGGGTTTTTCCATACAGCAGCTTCTCTGCAGTGACTGCCTTCCAACCCCCAGTTAAAGAGCCACACTGGTGGCCGAGGGGGGACATGGACACCTGTGCAAGCCTCCGGCCACCAGGATAGGGTCACCTTCCTCCTGCTTTTTTTTTTTTTTGAAAGATTTTATTTATTCATGAGAGACACACACACAGAGAGAGAGAAAGGCAGAGACACAGGCAGAGGGAGAAGCAGGCTCCATGCAGGGAGCCCGATGTGGGACTCGATCCTGGGTCTCCAGGATCACACCCCGGGCCGAAGGCAGCTCTAAACCGCTGAGCCACCGGGGCTGCCCTTCCTCCTGCTTTTAAACTTACTTTGAATCTACGTGGTTGGCCCTGATACGTCCATCACGAACTGACTCGGATTCATTTATCTTGAATAAAGTGTAGGCCCTTTAGAACAAAATGATTTGTTGGCAGCACCAGAACAGGGTGCTATGTGGGGAGCTCAGAGTAACTTCCTCTGAATCATGTATGTATATGTGTATGTATGTATGTCTGTATTTTCATTTTTAGAATTGATTTTTATTTTATTTTTAAAATTTAAAAAAGGCTTTCTTCTTTAGTAAGATCATCAGCGAGGAAGAATTGAGAGCTTGGAGTCTTGTTTCTCAGGTTCCTATTGTTTCTCGGCTACAAAGTTTATGTTGGTCCTTGTGCTAAAACAAAACAAAACTCAAAACTCAAAGCCATCATACTAAGTTATAAAAGTCATGCAGTTCCTGGGGCACCTGGGTGGCCCAGTTGGTTAAGCATCCAACTCTTGGTTTTGGTTCAGGTCACGACGTCAGGGTCCTGGGATCGAGTCTTGGCATCGGGCTCCATGCTCAGTCAGGAATCTGTTTGGGATTCTTTCTCCCTCTTCCTCCCCCCCTCCTGCTTGTACTCGCTCACTCGCTCTCTCTCTCTCTCTCAAATAAATCTTTAAAAAAATAAAAAGTAATGAAATTCCTACTGTAAAATCCAGAAAATTTTAAAGAAGAAAATTAATTAAAAGTTGTGTAATTCTTTCATTTATACATAATTTGTTAGCTTTTTGGTGTATGTTTTCACATAGACATATACTTGCGGGTTTTTTTTTTCATTGTTGTTTTTACTTTATTTCTTAAAAAAAATTTTTTTTTTAATTTTATTTATTTGTTCCTGAGAGACACAGAGAGAGAAGCAGAGACACAGGCAGAAGGAGAAGCAGGCTCCATGCAGGGAGCCCAGTGTGGGACTCGATCCCTGGATCCCAGGATCATGCCCTGAGCTGAAGGCAGATGCTTAACCGCTGAGCCACCCAGGTGTCCCACATCATTGTTGTTTTTAACAAAATTGAGATCTTACTGTTTTCTTTTTTTTTTTTAAAGATTTTATTTATTTATTCATGAGAGACAGAGAGAGAGAGAGAGGCAGGGACACAGGCAGAGGGAGAAGCAGGCTCCATGCAGGGAGCCCGACATGGGACTCGATCCTGGGACTTCAGGATCATGCCCTGGGCCAAAGGCAGCACTAAACCACTGAGCCACCCAGGCTGCCCATCTTACTGTTTTCTTCTCCTTTCCCTAACATGATACTGAAAGTGATTAAGCATTTTCCTGCCCCACCAGTCCAATCTTAAAAACCTCATGTAGCTGAAAAACATCAGATTGTTGAACATTACCATTTTGGGTAATACATTTGCAGTTTTGTGCTGTTAGAAAGAATATACATTCTTGTAGTTAAATCTTTGAGCTCAGCTACGATTATTCCCTCTGGAGAGGATCCTGGAAGTACACTTACTAGATGAGAGAATATGCGTATTTTTGCATTTGCTCTGTATGGACAAATTGCTTTCCAGGAAAACTTGTACTACAGGAGACCTTGCATGGGCAGAGTAAAATAGTGTCTTCTTCCTATTTGGTATTAAGTGATTGTAGTCCTTGATAATTTAAGTGAAAAGTACTACCTCAGTGATCTCTGATTTTATTTTAATTTAATTTAATTTTATTTTATTTAATTTTATTTTTTTATTTTATTTTTTTGATCTCTGATTTTAAATGTGATGATTAGTGAGGGTGAACACTTTCCCTGTGTTCATTGTCTACTTTAATTCTATTTTTAGTTTGTTCACATCCTTTGGCAGTTAATCTGAGGTGTTAACATTTCTTTTGCAGATTTGGGAGAGCTTTTATATTAGTAACCTTTGTCATAATTGCAGGATTTTTCTCTGCCACATTTTCTCTTACTTTTGTTGATCGTATGAGTGTGTGTGTGTGTGTGTGTGTGTGTGTACACATCTTTTTTTTCCACTTTTATGGTAATTACAAGTCTTCAGGGTAGTCTAAATATGGGGGGAGGCACAACTTTTGTTATTTATTTTTATTTATTTATATTAATACAATTTTTAAACTTTAATATAGCATATCATTAGTTTCAGAGAGAGAATTCAGTGATTCCTCAGTGAGAGCACAACCTTTCATTTAACTCTTGAATCCACATGAAGCTAGTTTTGGGGAAAAGTATAAATGATAATTTATTTCTTTATTTTTATTTTTTAAAAGATTTTATTTGTTTATTCATGAAAGTCACACAGAGAGAGGCAGAGACATAGGCAGAGGGAGAAGCAGGTTCCCCACAGGGACCCCGATGTGGGACTCATTTCCAGGACCCTGGCCCTGAGCCGAAGGCAGACGCTCAACTACTGAGCCACCCAGGTGCCTCTGAATGAGAATTTATATCTTGTTTCTGAAGATCCCTTTCCCCAGCTCTGTTGAAACCCTGTTCTCCTCTTCATCAGCATGTGATGCTGCTCTCATCATGCATGGTATTCTCGATAAACTGGTCCTTTTCCTAAACTGTCTAGCATGTTTCCATTTTCCATTGGCTGTTGAATTAGAGTAGCTTTGAGCCTTCCTCATCAATCTTTTTAAGATACTTTCATATAGAGTTAAAAGTCACTTTGTCCAAGTTAAAATAGGAAAATACCCACCCAAGACCCATCCTCACCAAGCCCAGGAATGAACTCAATGAAAGGACACTGGGGCTCCAATACAAAAAAAAAAAAAAAAGGGATGCATTTCCCAAATTTAGACTTCGTACCATTGTGAGAATTCAGTCAGGCATCTTGCGAGGTACTCCATGGACCAGCTGAAGAATCCACAGGGCAATGAGTTATAATAAAAAGGGCTATTTTCATGCTCCTTGGCTCCTACAGCTTGTCTAGTCTTCAAATCAGATGCATCCTTTCAGTTGTCAGCCTCTGCCACATTCTGGCTTCCGTGTTTGTTCTTAGGGCCACAGCCTCGTGTTCTGAAATCAGAGCAAGCTTCGGTGCTGTTGTTCCCTAAAGGCTCATGTGTCCTTTGGTGTCCAGGTGGGAACCACCAACTGTGGGGGGGGACACCCAGGCCCTCTGTCTGTGTGATGATCGCTGGGGTTTGTAATCCTGAGCCCCTGGAGTTCCTAACAGTTCTTCAGGGGTATTAGAGTCCCTGAGACGTTTTATGCCAGACAGCGGAGATGATAATCATCTGACCAAGCGGTTCATTGCTTATTTTCTGTATTTGGGTTCTCTGTAGGATTTTGTCCATCACAGACATTTTCAGAAGCTCTGCCCCAGCAAGTCTCTGGTCTCTTGTAGTACGACAATTAGACACCTGGCATACCTTCTCCTGCTGTCAGCTCCCCCAAATGTGGTCTCAGGTATCCCATTCTGTGTTCCTAGTCAGTAGAGAAGGAAACCAGGGGAGTATCCTGACCCACCAGCTTCAGATTTGATCTAGAATTCAGACCTAGATTCAGTGAATCTAGGTGCAATCCATTGCCCACCCCACTTTTGGCCCCCAGGCCTCCTGATGGCTTCAGGACATGTTTGACCATGTGTCCAGGTGTGTGGCTCCTCACTCACTCATCTTTGTATCACCGGGAATAGTTTGTGACCGTGGGCTGTGTTCTTTCTGTCTCAGGCAGGGAACGTGGTAACAGGGGAGATGGTGGAAGAGCTTATTCTTTCTGGAGCGGACATAATCAAAGTGGGTGTCGGACCAGGTAAGGCTTGCTGGGAAGCACAGCGGAGGCTGTGTGGTGGGGTGCTGCGGGGATGAGGGAGGTGCTTGGGGAGGTTGGAGATGTGGCCAGAAGGGAGCCCATGGGTGACCCGGCCACAAGCATAAAGCCCATTTCTTTTAGAAGCATCACACCACTTTTGGAAGTTGAGCTTCCAAAAGAAGGTCTTTTAGGACATGTCATGGGGTTGCTTTCTGATCCAGGGAACATCTTAAAGGAGCTGGGGTGTGGGTAGAATGTGAGGTCCTGGTTTCAGAGTGCTGGAGTGAAGGAAGAGAATGCAGATTTCCTTAATGACCCCATATATCTTGAAGAAGAAAGCAAGGGGGTTGAAGAATCAAGGGGACAGTTAATGGACACAGATGACTCAAGTTTCTTTGAAGGTTTGACAGCCCCCAGACAGTGCACATAGGCAGGAAGCTGAGCCCACATTTGAATTTGACCCACGGCCTACTCGTTACCACCCCTGGATCCACACCTGATACTTATCCATTTCAGATTTTGCCCATAGCCTCTTGGGCAGCCTCTCCTAGGACCACCCATTGGTGTCTTCAGTGGAGGGACAGGCTAGGGCACTTCTTTTTCTTTCTTTTTCTTTTTTCTTTTTTTAAGACTTTATTTATTCATGAGAGACACACAGAGAGAGGCAGAGCCATAGGCAGAGGGAGAATCAGGTTCCCTGCAGGGAGCCCAATGCGGGACTCGATCCCAGGAACCCGGGATTACGCGCTGAGCCAAACGCAGACACTCAACCACTGAGCCACCCACGTGCCCCAGGCAGGGCCTTTCTGTCCTTAGATTGGCCAGCTCCATTGTCTCCTGGGCCAACCTGGCATTCACCTTCCCCTTTGGTTATGTGTGAGCATGAGCTTTCATGTTTTCAGATTCTTCCTTGCACATCTTTCTACTAAACAAACACTAAAGTTGGAGAGGAGGAAAGAAGATATACATTTTTCAGTTGGGAGTTTAAAAAAAAAACACAGCAAAGATTTTTAAAATACCGCCCACCCAAAAAAACACTACCAAAAAAGGAAGCAAACCATAAAGCCGTGTGAGAAGAGTGTGGGAATGGATTCTGGAGGCAGAAGACATGGTTGTGTTGTGACTCGGCACAATCATCAGCCTTGAGGGAGCAGGATGTATATATATGAAGAGAGTCATCCCTTCTTAGGGAAGAAGTCTTGTAGACTCACCAGCGTACTTGAGTGACCTACAGGGAAGTTCTCAGGATTGGGCTTTTGATATTGCCCCTTGAGCCAATTCATAACATATTCCAAGCAAGAGGGAAGACAACTCTGTTTTTTTTTTTTTTTAAGATTTTATTTATTTATTCATGAGAGACAGAGAGAGAGGCAGAGACACAGGCAGAGGGAGAAGCAGGCTCCACGCAGGGAGCCGGACGTGGGACTCGATCCCGGGTCTCCAGGATCACACCCCGGGGCCGAAGGCGGCGCTAAACCGCTGAGCCACACAGGCTGTCCAACAGCCCTGGTTTTTACTGAGTGTTGGTCATTTTTGGAAATTCAAAGAGAGACTAAGACCCAGTTCTTACAAGGAGCTCCCCACTTAGCATGGGCTGTAATAGACTGAACTAAGAATAGAATAGGCTGTTAATAGGCCAGGAAGACTCTTCCAAAAGCAGGACACTCCCCGGGCACCTGTTTAATCAGAAATAGCAGCTGGGTGTCTACTAGCTGCCGTTGTGCTGGGTGCGTGCTGTACAGGATGTCAAGGTGTGGAGGCGGCCGCCTTGGCTCTCAGAGAGCTGTTCTTGATGCACTTGATGTAATCCTGAGCGTTCGGCTGTACTTGTTTCTCTCCTGCACATTCTCTGCGTATAAGCTGTTTCCCCAGAAGAGGTGTGGTCCTCCCATCGTTGCTGCGTGTACCACCCACCCAGTGCCCAACCTCAGCCCTGGCAGGGCTTTCTATTAGAACGGATGGGACTAAAAAGTAAGGAGCTTTTTCGGAGCCGCTTCTTTAAACTGATTGGAGATTACATTTAAATGTCATGAATTCCGGGCAGCCCCAGTGGCCTAGCGGTTTAGCACCGCCTTCAGCCCAGGGAGTGATCCTGGAGACCGGGGATCCAGTAACACGTTGGGCTCCTTGCATGGAGCTTGCTTCTCCCTCTGCCTGTGTCTCTGCCTCTCTCTCTCTCTCTCTCTGTCTCTCTCATGAATAAATAAATAAAATCTTTTAAAATAAATAAATGTCATGAATTCTTCAGAATAAAAAACACTGGGGGTTCTCTCTCTGTGAATGACAGCGTGAAGAATGGGCACCCTGCCCCTGCCCCTGGGGGAAGACGCGTATTCAGTTTTCTCCTTTTCCCGTGAGCCTTGATCAAGGCCATTCCCATGCCTTCTTTGCAAGTTCTTCCTTGGCTCTTTCCAGGGAGGGTGATTGGCCTGACCTCTGGAGGTCTCTCTTCCTTGGCTCTTTCCAGGGAGGGTGATCCCTGCCTTCCTGCGAGGATCTGGCTGTGGAGTGGGAGAGGAGAGAAGCCAGTTATGAACCAGAAATTAGGAAATGAGTTCAGCCTTGCACAATGCGGGTCTGGTGGCTCGGGCAGAAGGTGCCTTGGTGGGGACAGGAGCTTGCTGGCTCCAGGGCTGTGAGCAGCACACTTAAGGATGGACATCAGGAGCTGGCTTCTCATGCCCGGCAGAGGATGGATGCAGGAGGAAAGGGGTTTCCCCCAGCCTTCTGGTTTTTCTTGTGGAATCCAGGCCTGGAATTATTATTATTTTTTAAAGATTTTATTTATTTATTGATCAATCCATGAGAGACCCAGAGAGAGAGGCAGAGACACAAGCAGAGGGAGAAGTGGGGAGCCCAATGGAGGACTCCCAAGATCCCTGGACTCCAGGATCACGCCCTGGGCTGAAGGCAGATGCTTAACCCCTGAGCCACCCAGGTGCCCCTCCAGACCTGGGATTCTAGACCTGGTTCTCTGTCTGGTCCTGTACCAGAAAAGCTGGGGAGAGGTCTGAGGGGGTGGGCAGGAGAGGAGGCTGGGGTTCCTGGTGCCTGGTCCTAATGGCACTGGAGTTCAGCCCCATTGATTGAGCTGGGAAATAGTGTAGCCACAGGCATGTGGGTGACTCATCTATTCTTAAGTTCACGCATTCTTTTGGTGACTATTTATAGCCACCTGCTTATGTACAAGGCTCTATTCTCAGCACTGGATCTACAACAATGACTGTCCGTGGAGCTTACCATCCAGCAGAGAAAACAGGTCCCCTGCATTCTTATACAAATAATTATTTAATGCCTCTTTTTGAAGTGAATACCTGTGGAGAACAACTCCCCCGAGGTAGTGACATTTAAGATAAAGCCTGAAAGATGAGAAGCATTGGCCAGACCAGGGGTTGGTGCATAGGGAGGGCTTAGACAGAAAGTACAGCATGTACAGAGAATCCCCTCTGCCAGAGGACCTGGAAGGTGGGAGAGGCTGGAGTGTGGGGAGCAGGAGGGAGAGACAGGTGGCAGAGGAAGGCAGCAGCTGGACATTTGGGAGTTTGTCCTGCGTGATGTTCGGGTACAAGGGGTGCTCACTGGCTGGCAGGGAGGGACAGGACTTGAGCCAAGGGGTCGTGTGCTGGAGATGGTGGTGCTCTAGGCATGACTTAGCCTGGACTCAGCTGGGACGCTACTCTGTAGATGAGTCCACCAGGACTGGGGATGACCATGGGAAAGGCAGAGGTCAAGGAGGAGCGCAGGGGTCCAGGTGGCTGGTCCTGAAATGGAAGCTGATTCTGCAGCCCAGGCTGGATGGGGACCCTGGGCAGGGTGGCCGATCATGCAGCTGGGGCCCATCGAGGACGGGACTGGGTGGGAGAGGGTGCAGGAATGGGGTAAGTGCCACCCCCTCCTCTCCAGGGCCTACTGGGGGTGCAGCCCAGCAGTTTTCACCTGTCCAGCCACTTACTCTCCACCACAACCTGGTGCTGTCAGCGTTTCCATTTCCATTCTATAGGCAAGGCCAACAGGCTCAGAGAAATTGGAAATTTGACAAAAGTTGAAGGTCAAGAGGCTGTGGGAGGAGCCTGAGGGGTCCCTTGAAGTATAGAGTGGTTGTGCGGACAAGCGAGGGACATAGGAGAAGCATGGGAGTAGTGTAAGCAGGCAGAGGAGGCGGTGATGTCACAGGCGGGTGACGGTGACGGGGCGTGGGGTAGAGGGCACCCAGGCATCAGTGGTTGACGGTGATGAGGACCAGAAGGGACATGCTCAGATGGTGTGGTTATCACCACTCCCCCCCACCATGGAAAGAAAGATTACCCCCAGGAAATTGGGGTGAGGGTGAGTGCTGGTGGCAGGGGCTCATCTTGTGTCACCACCTGCACTTTCTCAACCATCTCTCTTTGGGTCCCCTTCTCCTGCCACCTAGGTTCCGTGTGTACCACCCGCACCAAGACGGGGGTGGGCTACCCCCAGCTCAGTGCTGTGATCGAGTGTGCGGACTCTGCCCACGGCCTGAAGGGTCACATCATCTCCGTAAGTCTCTGGCGGGGCAGGGAGCTGGCTTGGGAACCCCCGGGGCTACAGGGAGTCCCCTGCTCCTCGGCCCCAAGGAAGCCCATTTCCTGGCTGCCCTCCTTCCAGATGGCATCCCGGTGGGCCTGGCCATGACCCGGGCACCTTCGTCACGGCAGTGACATATGGCAGAGACCCAGGCCCTGCTCCCCACTTACTCTGCACCAAGGGAGGCAGGCACATTGGTCAGTAACAACTGCAGACTGTCGGTGAGGTGTTGGGGGGTCTGTGCGGAGCTTGGAGAGGATGGGAGGGCCACCTAAGAGTTGGCTACAGAGCACCCCGGCCTGCATGGATTGAAGAAGAGAAACCCACTGTCTCGTGGGTCTGGAGGCCGGAAGTCTGAGATCCAGGTGTCAGCAGGGTCCCCAGGGCTACGGGAAGTCTCTGTTCCCAAGCTCCAGAGCTTCTGGTGTTTCCTTGGCTGGTGGCACCATAGCTCCCATCTTCATGTGTTGTCCTCCCTGTGTGCGTGTGCTTGCATGTCCACATTTTTCCTATTTGTAAGGACACCAGTCGTGTTGGATTATGGGTCACCTCCTCCACATGACCTCATCCTGGCTTATCACATCTGCGGTGCTGTCACATGCTGCCAGCCACCGGTCATGGGTTGCCCGACTGAGAGCACATCAGTGGTGTGTTGGGGGCAGAGGTGGGATTTCTGTGGGTTGAGAAACCTATGGGAAGAGTGAGGAGAGGCTGAGGCAGTGATCTAACAGCACTTCCATGAAGTTCTGGGACAGCAGCCTGAGACTCAGCCACTGAACATTCAGGATTGAGTGAATGAATGAATGAGTGCCAAGTTAGTATCCGTCCTTGACGTAGCCACCGTTCTGCACCACCTTTACTGATGCGACTACCATTCACAGTCAAAAGGACGTATCCTAGCTCTCCCCTTCCAGATACAATGCTCAGAACAGGACAGAACTTGTAGGATTAAATAGGACAAACTCACAACTATGGCTTCCACGTATATGTGTGTGTATATATAATATATATAATTTCTTTTTTTTCTTTTTCTTTTTTTTTTTTTTTACAAATTCTGAATTCATGGTGTAATTTTAGTGGTTCTATAACAAAGTTGACTCATGGAATATATTAAAATAAATCCTCATACCTTTTCTTGGTACAGTTCCTAAGCCAGGGTCCCACATTAAATAAATTGATAGGTGATTTCTTTTTTAAAGATTTTATTTATTTATTTATTCATGAGAGACACACACAGAGAGAGAGAGAGAGAGAGAGAGAGAGAGAGAGAGAGAGAGGCAGAGACACAGGCAGAGGGAGAAGCAGGCTCCATGCAGGGAGCCCGATGTGGGACTCAATCCCGGGACTCCAGGATCATGTCCTGGGCCGAAGGCAGGCACTAAACCGCTGAGCCACCCAGGTGTCCCAAATTGATAGGTGATTTTAAAAAATTTACAAATGCATCAAATTACATATTCCTGTGGAATGATGCCTTGGTGACTTCAGCTCAGCACTTCAGTACATTGATGTGTGATTTCTGGACTTGCTTTAAAGAGTAATAATACTCTTTAAAAAGCCCTACCTGCACCTTCCCTCATTTTGAGCCTTATTTTAGCATCTGAGTGTTGTAGCTGTTGTTTTATCACAGCTAGGGGCCTGGCCTGACCTTGCAGTCCAGTGCAGATTTCCCGTGCTCCTTCCAATGCTCCCTGAAAAGTTTTCATCCATCCATCCATTCTCTGAACAAACTTTTATTGAGCATCTACTGCTAGAAGCAGAGGGAGAGGGGAATGACTGAAATGACCGAAGGTTTTGTGGTTGCTGAGCATTCTGAGGCCCCGTACTCATTACCCCTTCCTTGAGTTTTGCCCCAGAGCACAAATGAACACCCATTTATTGTGTGTAAAAGGTTGAGTGCAGTGATCCAAGTCACTGCAAACAGCATCAGTCTCCAGGATGCTAGTGGCTCTCAGGTGTTAGCCGGGGCCTTGTTCTGGGCTGGCTGCATGAGCATCACTGGGGAAGCTTTCTTAAGAAGACATGCCTGGACCCCATCTTAGCAAATATGACTTTTCAGAGGGTGGCCACAAAAGTACCATACGTAATTAATCATAAATCTCTGTCACAGGACAGTTTTCACCATCAGGAGTCTGCATCAGAATTTGGACCCTGTACCATATATGTTCCTTGAGTGGCCACTATTTTTCCAAATCCTCGAGCTGTCAGATGAATGGATCTGCTGTGAACGTGTTTGTGTTCTGAGTTCCCACTTTTGTAGCCTTCTAGAAATCTCACACCTGCTTAGTTGATAGGACCATAGTTTGGGGTCGGGGGTAGGCTGTGCTTGCACCACCGGCCACTGCAAATCAGCTTGGGTTCTCTCTACGCAGCACCACCTCATTGATAAGCTTATTTTAGCAGTTCTCTCGGTGTAGTGCCCAACATCAGTATCAACTGAGAACTCGTGGGACAATCTGGGGCCTGGGCCAGACCTATGGAATCAGCAGCTCCAAAGGGGAGTCCCAGGAGTGTGTCGTCACAAGCCCTCCAGGTCACTGTGATGTGCTCTTAAGTGTGACAACTGCTGGCTTCTGTAGTGGAGGCTCAGCGTACCCTGGTTGGGTCCATGTTCAGAGCCGGGTCTTACCTGCTGGCGCCCAGGGAAAGGCTTCTCTGAATTTGTCAGTTAGGGACAGTGACCGCCCAAGGCTTGTGGTTGGGTGCTCCCAGGTTCTTAGTAACAGTGAGAGATTTCCCAGAAAGGACCAGACCTTCAGTGTGTAGCCATAAGACCCGACGAAGTTCATGGACTCACACGGGATCAGCCCTCTTGACCTGAGCTCATTCCTCCTGGCCAGCCGAGAGTCTTGGGGTTCAGAGTTGCCTTGTCTTCTACTGTCCCTCTGTCTGATAGGGTTTCACAAACAGATTTCTCCCGCTTGCCACTCATCCCTAAACCCACTGGAAACCCCTATTTTGGATCTCGCTCCTCTGCCTAGTTGCCTTCCAGCTGTCTCCTATTACACTTTGGTTGCTGAATTAGCACATCCATGCTGTTGAAAGTCAGAAAAAGGAAGCCACTGCAGGGGGCTGTTGGCAGGTTGAGTTGGGTTACTATTTACTGTGGCCGGCATGGGGTTCTGAGAGGCAGAGAGCTATAAATTCAGGACACCCCTTGTGTAGGTGAAGATTAAAGTGTGGCTGGTTAGTTTTGTCTCCTCATCGGCTAGGGACATCACACAAAAGAGAATTTTATTTTTTCATTTATTTTTTTTTTAAGATTTTATTTATTCATGAGAGACACAGAAGGAGAGAGAGGCAGAGACACAGGCAGAGGGAGAAGCAGGCTCCATACAGGGAGCCCAATGTGGGACTCAATCCCAGGTCTCCAGGATCACACCCTGGGCCGAAGGCGGTGCTAAACTGCTGAGCCACCAGGCCTCCCCACAAAAGAGAATTTTAAAGGTGGAAACAGAGGAAGGAAGGACTATTATTTATTGAGCATCTAGTACCTTCCAGGCACAATAGACTTATAATTTCTAATCCTTGGAACAACCTGCCAAACTAGCAGTTACCGTCACTTGACAGGTGTATTAGGGTTCTCTAGGAAAACAGAACCAGTAGGGTGTGTGTGTGTTGGTGGGGGGGGTGGCAAGAGAGGAGATTGAGGAAGTATTTATTATAAGGAATTGGTTCACGTAATTATGGGGATTAAGAAATCCCAATATCTGCAAGGTGAGTTGCCAGGCTAGGGACTTCAGGTGAGCTGATGCTGTAGTTTCAGTCCGAGTCTGGGGGCCTGAGAACCAGGAAGAGCTGATGTTTCAGTTGAAGTTAAAAGGCAGAAAAAAGCCCAGGTTCATTCAGTCAGTCAAGAAAAGTACACTCGAGGAGGGTCAGCCCTTTGGTTCCGTTCAAGCCTTCAACTGATTAGATGGGACTCCCCCACATTGGGGAGGACGATCTGCTTTACTCAGACGATCTGCTTTACCAATTCAAATGTTAGTATCATCGAAAGAAAGAAAGGAGAAGAAGAGAAGAGAAAAGAAACCAAGAAATCTTCCCAGAAACACCCAGACTAATGTTTGACTAGTTACCTAGGCACTCTGTGGCCCAGTCAAGTTGACACATAAAATTAGCCATCACAGCCCGCTGGGGAACTGAAGCTTCGGGATCTTCAGTGCCTTGTCCAGCATCACTACTGGCAACGTTCAAACGAAGGTGTCTTCCTCTGCAGTGTTCCATGTCTTCCCTTGACTGACCCCCTCTCCCCACACACACTCATTCATTCATTTATTTATTTATTTATTTATTTATTTATTTATTTATTTATTTATTTATTTTTAATTTATTTATGATAGTCACAGAGAGAGAGAGAGAGGCAGAGACACAGGCAGAGGGAGAAGCAGGCTCCATGCACCGGGAGCCTGATGTGGAACTCGATCCCGGGTCTCCAGGATCGCGCCCTGGGCCAAAGGCAGGCGCCAAACCGCTGCGCCACCCAGGGATCCCCCACACACTCATTTAGATAATGAGGAGGTCACAGAAACCATAAAGAAGGGTTTGCTGAAATCACAGAGGATCCAGGGTTGGTACAAGACCCGGTTGGCTTGTTCTCCCATTCCAACGCTCCTCTGTCCTTCCTCACGGGGTCCCCACTCATGTCTTCTAGTGGGGAGAGGATGGCCAGTCCCCAATGCACGATTGCAAGGGGAGGCATTTGTTCCCTTGGACTCTGTGGTGCTTTACAGGACCTAGAAACAAGTCTTGCGATTACGTTGAGTGGGGTCACTGTGGTCTCTTCTGGACTCAAGCTCCAGCATCTTAATCAGTGTGTTTTATAAAGATCAAGAGGCTCAGGAGGCTCTGTATTGAGAAGGGCTGGTAAGGATCCAGATGATTCAAAGTAATCCCCAACCTTCTCCCCGCTCCACGCCTGGTCACTAGTACTCGCCCAGGCCCACTAGCTCTCTGCAGAGAAGTAAAGATGGATCAGCAAATTTCTGAAAATTGTAATGATTTAATATAGCACTTCAGAAGCAGTTAGACCATTCTTTAGTGAGACCTAAACAAAGTTTTTCAGATAATTTCATTTTTTTGAGGCCTGAAAAATTCTCCAACAAGATAGATTTAGCCTAGAAAAAGTTAGATAATACAGATAAATATAAAGATTACTGCAACCATTAGCCCCTTAAGATAACCATGGCTCATGTTCTGATAAGTATGCTTCTAGACATTTTTATGTTTTTTTAAATTTTCTTTATTTTTGCTTCTAAACATTTTTTAATTTTTTTTAAAGAAAAGTGGTGAGTAAAGGGTTTTTTTTAAAAAATTTTTTTGTTTATTTATTCATGAGAGAGATACAGAGAGAGGCAGAGACACAGGCAGAGGGAGAAGCAGGCTCCATGCAGGGAGCCCGATGTGGGACTCAATCCCAGGATCCCGGGATCACGCCCTGGGCTGAAGGCAGACAGACGCTCAACCACTGAGCCACCCAGGTGCCCTGCTTCTAGGCATTTTTAGAGCGTATTCTTAACCAAGGTTCAAATCTTGTTCTAACATTATTGCTGTGTGACCTTAGGCAAGTCACTCAACCTTTCTGAGCTCTGCTCGTTTTTCTCCCCACTTCCAAAATACCAACTTCAGGTTCTTGAGCTGTTTATTTATTTTTTTTTAAAGATTTTATTTATTTATTCATGAGAGAGAGAGAGGCAGAGACACAGGCAGAGGGAGAAGCAGGCTCCATGCAGGGAGCCTGATGTGGGACTTGATCCTGGGACTCCAGGATCATGCCCTGGGCCAAAGGCGGCGCTAAACCGCTGAGCCACCCGGGCTGCCCCTCTTGAGCTGTTTAAATAGCAAAATGAAGTTAACTACCCCTGCGCATAGTAGGTGTTTGATTTGAATTCTCTCTGCCTGTTCCCTACCTGCTTTCACCATCCTCAATTTTAAGTATTCTTAAGAAAAACTATGCTGACGATTCACAGATCGAGTTCCCACCACTCATGTCATGTGATGCCTTTTCTACTAAAATATAACATTAACGCTGTTGAAAAACAAAACAAGTAGCTCTTTGAATATTTGCACATTGTTTTTTTTTTTTTTTGAAACCTTCCAGCGGCTGTGATATTTATATGTGAAAGTAAATGTGTGCCTTAGATTGCAGAGATTTTCCCCTCCTGCCCTTGCCTCCTGAGAACATGAAAAGATGCTCTGAACAGCTTTTGGAAATCATCCATAAGCGGTAGTAGGGAGCAGACTCCTTGGCCCTAAAGCATTATGCGATGTTGGAGTGCACTCTGTTAAAGGCGCAGTCCGGCTTGGCAGCTCCACATTGTCTATTTATAAATGCATTTCCAGGTAAAGTAAGGAGATGCCGTAAGTGTGATTTCCTCTCTGGCACATCCCAGAATCCTCTTAACGGTGGGCATCGTGGCCCATCCTGGGAAGAGAAGAGCTCCTTCTCCAGGGTCCCAGTGGCCTCATCACTGACCACAAGCATGTGGAATTTTCTGGGCCTCCCTATGAGACACCACCGTGGCAGTCACAGCCACTCACTCACAGCTCGCATGCAAGGGAGCACAAGATTAGGGAGCGTGTAGGTGTGTGTGTGTGTGTGTGTGTGTGTGTGTGTGTGTGCTGGGTGGTGTTTTTAGTCCGATAATGTCCTAATGTAATGGGGGCGTGAGTTTGTTTAATCTTTGGAGGTCATATGTTTGAAACCCTATCTAGTGTAAAACTGGTTCTGGTAGAGATAAAGCACTTAAAAAAATGGGCAAGACGAGTGAAGGGCACATAGGGGGGCTTGTACCTTTGAAAGATAGGCTGGAGCTTGGAACCGGCCAGACGCAGCCACGAGTCCCGTCACCATCTTCACACGGTGGCTTTGGCACATAACTTATATGGAGAGACCACTTCGGAAATGACCACTCCCTAGCACCCTGTGGCCCTCGGGGGATCAGAGAAACTACAGGTGAATACAGGCACACCTCATTTTATTGAGCTTCGCTCTACTGCACTTCAGAGATATTGTGTTTTTTAGTTTTTTTTTTTTTTTTTTTTTTTTACAAATTAAAGATCTGTGGCAAGCCCGCATTGGGGCAAGTCTGTTGGCACCGTTTTTGTTGTTGTTTTTAAAGATTTTATTTATTTATTCATGAGAGACAGAGAGAGGCAGAGACACAGAGGGAGAAGCAGGCTCCATGCAGGGAGCCTGATGCAGGACTCAATCCCAGGACCCCAGGATCAAATCCTGAGCCAAGGGCAGATGCTCAACCGCTGAGCCACCCGGGTGTCCCTAGCACCATTTTTCCAACAGTATTTGCCTGGTCTGTATCTCTCTGCCACAATTTGGTAATTCCCACAAAATCTCAAAACTTTCTCATTCTTGTATTTGTTATGACAATCTGTGATCAATGATAACAGCTTGCCAGAAGCTCAGAGGATGATCACCATTTTTTAGCAATAAAGTATTTTTAAATTAAGCTGTGTACATTTTATTTTTTTTTTAGACAGTAATGCTGTTGTATCCTCAATATGCAGAATAGTGCACACATAGCTTCTGTAGGCAGTGGGAAACCAAAAAAATTCATTTGACTCACTTTATGGTGATACTCGCTTTATTGCTGTGGCCTGAAACGAAACCTGCAATATTTCTGGGGTGTGCCTGTAACAGATATGATGGAGGAAATAGTTATAGGCAGTAAATTTTCATTAAAAAAAAAAAAAAGAGTTCCAAGTTTTCACACCTACCTACCTTTGGATTTGAACTGCTAAGAAGTAATGAAGCAGAAATTGAGTTACAGCTCCTGGAGCGATAGGCCTAAAAAGCAGGTAAAAAAGGGAATTGAGTCACAAAGAGCCATGTTCCCCATCAGAGGTGATGGAGTGGTTCATAAAGTGGTTTGTCCTGGTTCACTAGGTGCCCTCGGGCTCTGGGGGCGCCCATACCTTCCTGGCAGTTGTGATGCAAGGTAGCCCGGGCAGCCTCTGTCTTCCCCAAAGGCTGATCCGACCCCAATACTGGTGGGTCCCACCTTCTGGGGACAGGCACCTGCCTCTGAGACCCCAGTGTTCCTCCCAGACCTGCTCTGAGCTCAGGGCTGTGTCACCAGGCCAGCTCTCAGCACTGACCCCCCCCCCCAACCAGGCCCTGGCTTCTTGGCCTCTCTCTGTGGGGTCCAGCTGCAGCTCCCGGCCACCCTCACCGTCCTCCTTGACTTCACACAGGCCACGTTGAGAACAGCAGGGTAGCAGCCCGTGTTGGTCAGGATGGCGCAGTGGGTTCTGCGTTCTAGAAACCCTGCACAGCACTGCTGGTGCGTCAACATCACTTCCATGGCTGGACCGTGCTGGGCAGCCCAAGGTGACCGTCCTGCTGGGCATTAAACCAGCCCCAGGCACGTGCTCTCTAGGGTAGAGTGGGGCTCGGGAATGCATATTTGATTTTAAGCTAACTGGGCACTTGGGTGAAGGTGAATGGGGGACACACGGAGTGGCTGCAAGCATAAAGGAATTCAGTGTCCTTTCCCTGGCTCTTAAAATAACGAAGCTCCTGGACTACATAAGCCTCACCTCAAGCCAAGCAGGGAGGGAGGGATGACTTCTGAATGAGTGATTTCAGATGGCCCTGGTGGGGCAGGCGTGTTGTGTCAGGGGCTGGCTGGGGAGGAGGCCCCGGAGCATCCTGCCTCCCCGCTTCCAGGGGCTTCGAGGGGCATCCAGGGTGCCACAGGGTGGACAGGTGGGCAGTGGTGGACGGGGCTGGGGTGCAGCATCCAGGGGAGCCAATTAAGTCAGAACACAGTGACTGAGGAGCACTGGGCCAGGGCTCTGAGGGCCTCTGCTTACCCTTGGCTGGGGGTGTGTCCGGGTGTCACCTCCTGATGACCCCGAATCACCCCAGGGGAGGGGGGACAGCCTGGCCAAGCTGACGCTGACGCCTTCTCCTTGCTTTTTCCTCTTTGAAGGACGGAGGCTGCACGTGTCCAGGAGATGTCGCCAAAGCCTTTGGTAAGGGGACAGGGAGGGCGGGGCGGGAGCTCCGGCAGCTGTGTGCTGGCCTCAGCTGGGAACCTGAATGGAGAGGCGGGACGTGTTGGGAAATTCTGGACCCGTCCTGAGTTTCCAGTCCCTGGATTCCAGCCCCAGTTGGCCAGAGTCCTGACGTTAGTTTGATTCAGCCGAGCAGGTGTCGTGCCCAGAGGATGGAGGGGGGGTGGCAGCCTGCAAGGCAGCAGAGGGTGATGTCATGGCTTAGAGGGCTCAGGGTGCCTGAACAGGTGTGAAGCACAGTGACTTAAGGGAGGTCTCTGGGCCCTAACTTGGGGCGATCTTCTGGGAGGGACAAGAGAGCCCCCCAGTGGCTTCTCACCGGGCAGAGGAGCCTGTGTCCCAGCAGAGGGCAGCGCTGTCCAGCTGTGATCCAGGGGGGCTTCTGGACCACCTGGCAGGCCTGCCGCAGCCCCACGTGCAGTGTCCTGTGCTCGCCACATCACCCTGGCCAACCGCATCCTCAAGCCAGAGCCGGCTGCACATGGGGGTGCCAACCTGCCAGGTGGGAGCTGTTGTGTGCCCACCGGGTGACGGAAGAACCACTCGCAGGGCCCCACTCCCTCTTCTGATGCTGAGGCCAAGTTCACTCGTGATTCCCCCCCATTTTTTTTTTCCTACAGAGGGAAACTGTCTTTTTATTTTGAAGATTTTATTTATTTATTAGAAAGAGAGCACGAGCAGGGGTGAGGGGTAGAGGGAGAAGCAGGCTCCTCGCCAAGCAGAGAGCCTGATGCGGGGTTCAGTCCCAGGACCCCAGGATCATGACCTGAGCCGAAGGCAGATGCTTAACCAACTGAGCCACCCAGGTGCCCCTGGAGGGGGACTTTCTGAGGGGTGCCAGGGGTCCTTCCCCTTACCTGTATTTGGCAGCTCCAGAGTTTTTTGTCCATTGCTTCAGAGACGTTCTGACCTTGCCATAGAATGTCTTAGGTGAGGCATGGGTTCCCTCCTCCACCCTCTTTCTCTTAGTGACACACAATGGTGACAAGGGGAAGGGACAGTGTTCCTAGCAGTGGGGTTTTGTAGCAACCTGGGGAATGTCATGAAAATGGGCAACCTTCTTATGAAACCTATTCAGATCCTGCATCTTGGTTATGGAGGGAACACGAGGGGCATCTTTGTAATCGAGGGTGCCTACTTTATAGTTGAGACCGAGGCCCTGAGAGGTGAGTGACAAGGTTGGGGTCCCACAGCTGGTAGAGGAGGGGGAATCAGGACCCCTGCTCCACTCGTGTGCTCACTCACTGCTTACCTGGATCATTAGCCAAAGATGTTTTTGTTACTGATTTTTGAGCTGGATCAACTTAATGCTGATGGGTGCTCCCACTTGGGCTCCCTGTACAGAGTAGGAGCTGGCACGCTTTAAAGTGACTGGTCGTTAAGAAGAAGAAGGTGCCTCATGGGGGTGCCTGGGTGGCTCAGTCGGTTAAGCGTCTGCCTTTGGTTGGGGTCATGATCCCGGAGTCCTGGGATCGAGCCCCATGGTGGGCTCCCTGCTCAGCGGGGCGGGGTGGGGGGCGGTGTCTGCTTCTCCCTCTCCTCTGCTTGCCACTTCCCTTGCCTGTGCTCTCTTGCTCTCTCCGCCAAACAAATAAAATCTAAAAAAACAAACACACACAAAAAAAGATGCCTCGTAGATAACCGTTTTTGGATCCAGCCCTGGCATCTTTTTTCTTCACTCGTCTTGCAGTGAGTGCAGCATTGCCTGTGCTGAAGCTCAGCAGCAGAGGAAGGAAGACAATGTCAGGAGGAGTGAATGTTGGTGAGGGCCAGGGACAGGAGAGCATTCAGAAGCAAAAATAATTGGAAGCCACTTCAAAGCATTGTTTGAATGGATTTGTGTTCTGTGTTCCTGATGTTGACATCTGCTACTGGGGTTGTGGCCACTGGGAGGCCTGGCTGGACACCAGTTTTCCTCCCCCACCCCCGCCCTTAAAGCATGGCCCAGGGTGGGGGTGGGGGACAAGGATCCAGCATTCATGTTAGGGACCCTGGGATGAAGGACCTGCAGAGCTTGCTGCCAAGTAGAAAGGTCCCATTGTGTGCAGCTTCCTGAGTGCCAGGCCAAGGGGCCAGCCCTGCTATAATGCCAAACAGAAAGGCCAGGAAGCCTGATGCAAACCCCAGAGTCCTGTAAATATCTAAATGACCCGATGGAAGAGGTCAGGGCCACTTCTCAAGGGTTCCTCTGCTTGCCCCTCCTCCTTGTCCTTCATCCTCATTACTGAATGCATCTGTACCCTGGGGTCCTGGTGTTCTAAATGCGAACCCTCAAGAGGACATAGGAGAAGTTCATAGTCCATGGAGAGTCTAAATAATCCTCTATGAACAGGATTGAGAATGGTGATATTTCTAGCTCTTCCCCATATACACTTTCCCTTCTTGACAACTAGTTATTCTATATTGACCATGAGTCATGTCCTGTGATAAACACTTCAGTACCATATATGTATATGGTATATATACCATGGCATGGTGAGAGAAAGAACAAACTTTTTTTTTTCAAGTAAGTGTCCATTTTAGTAAGACCTTCCTCACACATTTACCACTGAGAATTGAAATAGCACATGAAAAAATTTTTATTATAATTCCAATTTTTGAAAACCAGAAGATCTAGCCTTTGTACCCTGCCCTAATTATGCTGTCAACCCACCCCAATGTTCTCTGTGTATTCCTTCTACACAGGTTCCTTGGCTTTCAATTTTGATGTTAGGTTTTATCTTAATGACTTCAGGCTTCTCACACACAGGCAACACTCAAAACCTATTAGTGCTTCCTCAGGTCAAATCAAAAAGTGGAAGTATACTGAAGTCATTCAAATGCAAACTATAAGATATGTGTGTGTGTGTGCGTGCGTGTGTGTTTATATATATATTATTATTACTTAGGCTTCTCTTTTTAATACCTAGCCTCTAGTGTAGGAGTTTTGGTCTGTTTTGGCGTTTTTCTTTTCTTTTTTTTCTAAAGATTTTATTTATTTATTCATGAGAGACACAGAGAGGCAGAGACATAGGCAGAGGGAGAAGCAGGCTTCCTGCAGGGAGCCCGATGTGGGACTTGATCCCAGGACCCTGGGATCATGACCTGAGCCAAAGGTGGACAGACTCTCAACCACTGAGCCACCCAGGCTTCCCTGTTCTGAGTTTTTTGTGATCTACACAAGCAGAGTGTGAGGGTGCTGATAGCCTAAGGTAGACTAGATGCCTGATGGGGACACCAGAGGAATGATCATGGAGGATGACATTGGCCAACACTCTATAGAAAATGCTGCCCAAGTCTTAATGTTTCTCTGATGATGAGACTTAGACTGTGTTTGGAAGGTGGTCATAGGTAGTCATCAGTTACCATTAAGGATTGTCCAGCGCATTAGCCACCAGCCTTCAGTAGGCTGCGTTTCTGTGTCCAGTACGTGTCTCCCCATATGGCAAGCCTTCTAAACTTTTTCCAGGAAGGGAGAGGTTGCTGGGAGCAGGGAGGGGTGAGTTACAGTAGCACGCAGATCCTTCCAGAGCCGACTCTCTCTGAGTTTTTTCTTCTGCTGCTTTTGTCCTCAACTGTTGGCGTTTAGGAGCTGGAGCAGATTTTGTCATGCTGGGCGGGATGTTTTCAGGCCACACCGAGTGTGCTGGGGAGGTGATCGAGAAGAATGGGCAGAAGCTCAAGCTCTTCTACGGGATGAGCTCCGAAACAGCAATGAAGAAGCATGCAGGAGGGGTCGCTGAATACAGGTGAGTCCCCAGCATCCCCTCTATTAATACTTAGGTACTGTGGGAAGGGGCTAGACAACATAGCCTGCTTCTTTTTAAATAGCCCCAGTTGTTATCCAAGTAGCACCTGCTGTGTTTGGGGCCCTGAAAAGGGAGTGTAGAGCAGAAGTGTTTTGGGACGGGACAGAAATGTGACTGGGGTGTGTGTGGGAACAGGTAGATGACTGGGCTTTGGGGGAAAGGGGTAAGGAGGATCTTGCCTTATCCTTCAAGAGAGCCTTCTGATGGCTCAGTGCTGGCCTTGTAATCACTATCTCTAGCCTGGAATGAGTTCAGGCGGCTAAAATTGGGTTGGAGAATGGGTCTCCCAGTGCACCTGAAACAGGTGTAGTGCACATCGCTGCACGGAGCTCAGGCCTTTCTGGAAGATGCCATGTTTCCCCTGCAGCAGGACTCTCACCTGCCTCCAGGCTCTGACAGTTGACACAGGCAGCACTTTTAGCCATTTAATTGTGTTACTCATTGCAGAAGGGATGCTTGCTTCTGCTTCCCCCCCTCTCCGCCCCCAAATCCATGATCCCCAAAGATAACCTGGCCTTTTCTGTTTCCCTTCCATTTTAATTCTCCACACGTGTGTTTAAAAACCCTTAGGACAGCGCATGTCCACCCCCTGGCCCTTTTGCGTAGAAGCTGCCGTTAACTTATCAGCATCAGCCTGATGACAAATCACACAAAGGGGACAGGACAGAAGGTCTTGCTCCCTCCGAAGGAAGTCTACCAGGAGTGAGGGATTATCTTTCTCTGGGAAGCCTCAGGCACTGGGCTGGGGACTCAAGCCCTCCCTGGTGGGCACCCCCCCATTTCTCCCATTCATCCTGCACCCCAAGGCTTATATCATGGATGGACATGGGATGCAGAGGTGTTGTATGAGGTTCCCATCAAGCCGGAGGTGAAATCTCAGAACCCCACTGAGATCCACAGGTGGGAGGTGTGGGGTACTCGCCAGAGTTCTGAACCTCAGTGAGTGGGGGTCTGGGGGTCTGATGTCTGTTCTCACTCTCCAATCTCATTCTCCTTTTGAGAGGGAACCTCAATAAAGATGACGCGAAGGGAAGTGTGGGGAAGGCAGGGTGGGAAAGAGGAATAGGGTGCTGTGTCTAAACCTTCATCGTGGGAACTTCAAACGCTCCGAACAAGAGGACACTGCTCCCCGTGCAGCCTCAGAGGCTCTTTCTCCCATGTGGTACCCGATGGAGGAGGTTGCATGGTTTATGAGGGTGGCCAGGGTGAGGATTACTGCCTTTGTGCCCACCTGGACTGCCAGTCCAGAAGCTTTGCACTTTACCAGCAACCACTGTCCCTACCCAAGGGCCTGTGCAGCGTCTGCTACGCGCTGCCACATTAAACAGAACCATCAGGATTCAGTGACCTGATAGATGCTTTGCCTGGAGTACATTTTGTGCCTCTAGCTGTTACATCTGTTGTGAGTTCTAAGAAAAGTAGGGAAGGGCAGACCAGGCTGCGCCACACTCGGAAGCCCAGGTGCCGAAGGAAAAAATCCTCTCCTATAATTTCAGCAGGGTTTAGGCAAAACGAAAGAGGAGACTCTGGAAGCGGATTCAAATCTTAGACGAGAAAGGCAAGTGCTGAAAGAATTAGAGCCTCAATCTGGAGGCAGCCTGAGCCCTGCACGTAGCCTCTGTCTCTGCGTCTCTCTTTGTGTCTCTGTCCCCCTCCATCCCTCCCCTTTCTCAGGCAGTTTGCAGCCCCATCCCCATATATCCTCACAAGAATGGTCCTCCTTTGATGTTGTATTTATTTATTTACTTATTTTTTTCTTTTCTTAAAGACTTCATTCGCTTACCCATGAGAGATGCAGAGAGAGGCAGCGACATAGGCTGAGGGAGAAGCAGGCTCCCTGCGGGAAGCCTGATGGGGGACTTGATCCCAGAACCCTGGGATCACAACCTGAGCCAAAGGCAGTTGCTCAACCTCTGAGCCACCCAGGCGTCCCTGACGTTGTATTTAATTAAAGGAAAGCTATTTATGCTTTGCTTGTTCCTTCCCAGCCATTAACCATTTATTTCTCATGCTGTCCCTGGGAGATAGATCAAAGTACCTTCCTTTTACAGACGAGAGGAGATGAGCCTCAGCAATAGATGGCTTGCAAAAGGGGCTGTCACCCATCAGCAAAGAGGCAATGACGAGAATCTAGATGATTTCCAGTAAGCCACTGACGGGCCACGGAAAGCTCTTTAAAAAGTGATGTGGCGGTCATTGCGGGCACATGTGCAGAGGTGTTGGTCTCTAGGTCACAGAGTGCGGTGACGTGAACTGTCCTGGGTGTGGCCAAGGATGGGCTTCAGGAGCTTGGTACTCTACACCAGCCATGAGACCAGCTCTTGGTCTAGCCAGTGGTTTAGGGAGGTAGATTTCATTGCACTTAAGGATAGTCTTGCAGGTGTGGATTCCAGTGCACAAGAGTTAATACCGTTTTGAAATTCTAGGCAGTGAGCCTCTTTCTTTCTCTTTCTTTTTTTTTTAAGATTTTATTTTTTTCTAAGATTTTATTTATTTATTCATGAGAGACATGCAGAGAGAGGCAAAGACACAGGCAGAGGGAGAAGTAGGCTCCATGCAGGGAGCCTGATGTGGGACTCGATCCCAGGACTCCAGGACCACACCCTGGGCCAAAGGCAGGCTCTAAACCACTGAGCCATCCAGGGATCCCTAAGACTTTATGTATTTATTTATGGGAGACACACAGAGAGAGGCAGAGACACAAGGCAGAGGGAGAACAGGCTCCCTGTGAGGAGCCCAATGCAGAACTCTGTCCCTGAACCTGGGATCACACCCTGAGCCAAAGGCAGACAGATGCTCACCTGCTGAGTCACCAAGTCGTCCCTAGGCAGTGAGTTTCTGATGGAGAGATGCTATTTTTTTCTAGTTGAAGAGACCAACTAGAGAAACTCCCAGAATTTGGTTAATTGTTAGATTTTCCAGATTACCCAGGCCTTAGATGAGAGCTAGAGTTTTGCACAGATTGGAGATTTCCTTCTTGGAACACCCCACCAAAGGCAAGTCTGGACTGTATGTCCAGGCAGTCTTACTTAGTGGGGCTTGAATTGTCCATTTTACAGATCTTCCTTCCTCTACTGAACTGCAGGGCTGCATCCCGATAAACTTAACTTAGGGTGAAAATATGATAAATTGAAATGCATTTAATACATCTAACCCACTGGACATCGTAGCTCAGCCTGGCCTACCTTAAGTGTGCTCCAAGCACTCACGGTAGCCTACAGTTGGGCAGAGTCATCAAACACAAGGCCTATTTGATAATAAAGTGTTGCATGTCTCCTGTAATTTATTGAATCCTTTACTGAAAAACAGACCCAGTTGTCCAGGTGCAGAGTGGTTGTCAGTGTACAGGTGTCTCCCCCATCCCAATCCCGGGGCCGATGTTGCTCGCAGGGAGGGCTGTTTGCACATTGCTAGCCTGGGAAAGGATCCAAGTTCAAAATCTGTAGTGCGTATCGCTTCTGAGTGGGTATCGCTTTCTCACCACCGTGGTGAAGTCCAGCAGTCGTTAAGTGGGTGACCATCTGTATTGATCCCTTCCTCCTCCCCTGGATTGGCGTCTTTAGGGGACACACCATGTCTAACTGGAGAGCTGGCAGGTGGGAGGGCGGAGCCCCGGGCTTCTGTTGCTGATCTGGGAGTGAGTGCAACAAGAAGAGGCAGTGGTGAGGGTTGTTCAAGAGGTGTTCTGTGAGGGCTGTTGCTCCTCCTGGGCATGTTGGGCTCTGGATCAACTGGGCGCTGGTGTAGGGATTGAGGTAGCATAGAAAGGTGGAGTTGGTTTCTCTTAGGGGCAGAGTGGAGGCACGGTGCTGAGAAGGGCACTGTGCAGGCAGGTGCAGGCCCACTTCTGCAGCGCTGCTGGGGGGGACCTGCCCCCGGGGACTGGCGCTCCAGGGAGCCAGCAGTGAGGCTGTACATTCAGGGTGGGAGGAATGCATGCATCGGAGACGCTGGTGTGATCAGCTTGGCATTTGTAGCAATGTGGGAGTGGGGTTGGATGGTGGCGTTTAGCTACCTGTGCGCCTTGGGGCTGGCTGAAGTGCTAAAGCTGGGAATAAGGGGATCCCTGGGTGGCTCCGCGGTTTGGTGCCTGTCATTGGCCCAGGGTGTGATCCTGGAGTCCCAGGATCGAGTCCCACGTCAGGCTCCCGGTATGGAGCCTGCTTCTCCCTCTGCCTGTGTCTCTGCCCCCCCCCTCTGTGTCTATCATGAATAAATAAATAAATATTAAAAAATAAAGCTGGGAATAATTCTGGCTGAGTTCTTAAGGGGGAAAAAAAACAACAACAAACAAAAACCAAACCAGATTTAAAGAAAAACTTACTTTTTTTTTTCTTCCAGAGCATCTGAGGGCAAGACTGTGGAAGTGCCTTACAAGGGGGATGTAGAAAACACTATTCTGGATATTCTTGGGGGACTGAGGTCTACCTGCACTTATGTGGGAGCCGCCAAACTCAAAGAGCTCAGCAGGAGGGCGACGTTCATCCGGGTGACCCAACAGCACAACATGGTGTTCAGCTAACCTTGAGGATGAGGTGACGTCCAGCTTGTGGAAGCTTCCACTCACACCTGCTTTCCCACCTCCCTCCTGTTACATCAGAGTTTCTGGCTGTTCTGAGTGGTGGACGACTGCCTCCTGCTCCGCTACCCGCACCCTGGAGGCTCTGGGGCTCCCCTCGTGCCTTCGGGGGGCCCAGAAGAGGGCCCTGACCCAGTCAGTGGTCAGAGCCCAGCTGCCTGGAACTCATAACCTCATTGTTAAAACTAACTCACCTCTTTCTTTCTCTCTCTCTCTCTCTTTTTTTTTTTTTAAAGAGAAATGGTTTCACTTTAATATAATGCAATTATCTTAAGACTTGGTGGAGTGCTGGAGTTTGCATTTGCAGGAAACAAGTTGTCAGGGGAGCTGGGGGTTTTCTACCTTTTTCCCACGCTGGGCTCTTAGCATTCAGGGCTGGGGTGTTGGAGGAGGAGAGGGCAGGCGAGGGTCGGGCTGGCCAGAGTAACTGGCATCCCCTCCTCCGCTTTTGGTTGCTAGCGAAGAACAAAAGCGCCTGACTAGACACATGAACTTGGAGGGGCCTCACTGCAAATACTCACAAGGTGTGGCGACCCGTTTCCAGGACCTGAGTTACATATGCCTTTGGGGAGTAGACATCTGTCACTGTGAGGTCCAGGTTGCTCTGGGGACGCTGTCCCTGTCCTGATTTTTCATTGACTTTTGTTGTGCTCTTTCCTCCTTGGTCCCAACCTGTCGGGCTGGCCTCCCTCTTAAAGAGATGACACGTGATTTTGAAGTTCAGTAGGACTGAACCTATTCAATAGGATAACCTTTTATTGAGAGGTTGTCCATCAAAAAATTGGCGAGTGGCATCCTTACTGAAAGACAGTAAAAACCTTGACCAGCGGCTTTCTAAAAGCCTTTGGTTTAAAAATATGAGAACTATTCCCTCGTCCAGGCCATTACTACTTTGGAGGCAGGAGCACGTGGTGTATAAAATGGTCAGTTCACGGACTGGGAACGGGGGGGCGTTTTCTTGGAGAAAGGACCCCTGGCTGGGGAGGAAGCCTGCATCTGCCCACCGCAGCCCTCGTTTCCACAGTGAACTTGGATGCATTGATGAGGACTGGCCACTTCTGAAGCGATGCTCGAGCAACACGACTGGAAAGTAAATGCAGACCAGGATGTTTTACTTTATTTTCTTTTGCACGAGGCTTAGAGAAGCAGACCCAGGAGTAAAATTTTCCTTGAGAAAGCCAATGATTACCCTGGAGTAGAGAAGGGTCATGCGGTGCTACTGTATAAGGACAAATGAATCGCCTGAGGTCCATGGTGATGGCCACCATCCGGAGAAGCCATCCAAACCATAAAAGCTCCAGGAAATTACAGGTCCCTTGTGAGTTTCTTAAGAATACATCTAAAGGCCCAGCAATTTGAAATCCGTTGTAATACTTTTCCCCCTCGATCCATTAAGAATAGTTCCTGTACTTGCAGAAACATGCACTGGCCACGCTTTGGAGCTGAAGGTCTGGAGGGTGTTTAACGTAGAGCAAGACGTGGGGTTTTGTGGAGGCACCCCACCTTTCCTGTTGGCTTGTCTGAGGTGAGAGTCCCACAGCCTTCCCAGGGAAGTTGTTCTCTACTCAAGTCCTTGTTATAAGAGATTCCTTGTTGCAAAATAAGGGAGCTTGAAAAGAAAAGGAAAGGTCTTAAATGCTTTCAAAAGGGACCAGGGGTAGTAAGGGACCTTTGCGGGCATGCCCATGCTTTAGCTCACCAGTGTCCCCCTCTCTCACCTCTGGGTCCTGTGCTATACACCCAGAGGGCTCGGGGGCGGGGGCACCCATCGGCCCACTAGAGGCTGTGTGCTTTGCAGCCCCGTGCCCGCTTTATCCATCTTGTGTAACGATTTTGCACACTGTCTGCTCTTCGTTTCCACGAGCAGGTCCTTTGCTCACCTAAGTTCTTAGGAAAGTGAACCACTTTGAAGCAGAGATTTTGCAAAAAAGCACCCTGAAGGCTCCATTATGCTTTGCCTTATAAGTTCGTCTCTGTCTCGAACAGCTCGTGGGCCCGGGAGCCTGTACCAGAGGGTCCTCAGACCTGGTCTCATGCTGCACCCTCACGCCTTCCCCTGCAGGAGTAGTGGGGGTAGGGGGTGGGAGGTGATGCCCTTCACCTCGGGCTGCTCCTGCCGTGCTTCTACTGGTTTCAAGGCCTGCCTCATTGCAGAATGTGGAACACAGCTTTTCCCCCCTAATTTGAACAGTTGAGGGAAGTCTAGAGCCATTGGGGCCCAGACCTCTGAGAACGGTTAGCATCGGACACTAAATCAGCAGGGAAGGCGGTGGCTCAGACTCGCCCACAGCATGGGGCTCCTCTGCCGGACTGCTCCGGAGGAGGAGGACCCTCGCGTGGCCACAAGGCTCTCCTGGTCCCCAATGGTGTCATGCACATTCTCTTGGCACTGACATGCACAGTGCATTGGGACCACAACTCTGAGCCCCAAGAGGAAAGTCCGGGTGCAGTACCCCCGACGTCTAAGCAGGAAGGCAGCCTGGGAAGGAGTTATCTACACCCTCCCCACCCTGGTTCAATGACAATTCTGAATTTAGCACTGAGAATTCTCTTGCACCTCTGCAGAATCTTAAAGCTTGAAGGACTTTATAGCCACATGTGCAGATGGGGGCATAGGGGCTCCCCTGCATGGCTCCTGGGCGAACTGCTTTCTGGGACACCTGCTAAGAGTGGGCACAGTGCACCCCTGCGGTGCAGCGCTCTTGAGACAAGGGGGGTCTGCTGTTTGCATGCATGCTGGGAGCCTCCTGGCTTGTGGAGTCTTGTTTTGTTTTGTTTTAAAGATTTATTTATTCATTCATGAGAGAGGCAGAGAAGAGACACACAGGCAGAGGGAGAAGCAGGCTCCATGCAGGGAGCCCGATGCGGGACTCGATCCGGGGACTGCAGGATCATGCCCCAAGCTGAAGGCAGATGCTCAACCGCTAAGCCACCCAGGCGTACACCCCACCCACTTTTTTTTTTTAAGATTTTATTTATTTTTTGCTTGTGGAGTTTTTATCAGGCATGAACTGAAGGAAATGCGAAGGAACTTTCCACATCAGACCACTAACCAGCGTTCAGCAACACTGTTCCAGAATGTGTCAATGATGCTACATGAGTCCCATGAAGCTGCCAAATGCTGTTTAGAAACAAATCTCTCTTGTCAACAGCATTGTTCGGATAGAAATAAAACGTGAACTGAATAAGTCAAAACATGGGCTGTTGAAATGTGCCTTTTATCTCAGGCCTCGTCGCAGGCATGACCACGACATCTTGCTCCCCGGCCACCCCCACCCCCACCCCTGCCACCGTCCTCAAAAAAGCATTCTAGGAAAAGCATTGCCTTGTGTCACTCCCCACCACAAACCAAGCCAGTGCTCACAGAGGGGCTGGGCACGGAATTACCATCTTTTCTTCGGTCTCATCTTTTCTCCAAGGACCTGACACAGGCAAGGACACACATTTGCAATTGGCACTGTTATTTTATTAGTACGAGTATACTGAAACAATAAACTTGTACTGGTATACAGACAATTTATTTAAAACAATTTTGTTCAAATTTTGAATCAAACATTGTTTTATTATAATAATGAAATAATTTCTACCTAGAAAACCTGCAAGCACCATCAAAGAAAGGGACCATAAAATTCAATAAACAGACTCGAGTGTATCCTACAAATAGACACACCACGATTAGAAAATAGAATATGAATTCTTCCATTTTTTTTAATATTTGTTTTAAAAAAGCTAGTGCAAGTACAATATTTTACACTGGAATTACAGAGAGTATGCACGCATATGGAAAAAAGTTCTCCTGTCACAATAAAAGCTCTTAACTATGTATGCACTTAAAATTTTCTTTTCAATAAGGTGCAAAACATTCCTTCGCTAGTTCTCCTCGGTACTGGCCATGTCGGTCTGCTAGTGCCCTCAAACTTCTGGTGTCTCTTTTCCCTTGGCCGGTGGGAGGCATACAATTGGAAGTTTGGTGGGTAATGATCTGATCGTAAAACATACAAGGTACGCGTCTCAGATTTGGCCCCGGCCAGAAGCTAGGCCGTCTTCACCCAAGGCCACCCACAAATACTGGCAGGGCTCTACGGAAACCTCCCTTCCCTGGACCCTAAATGGGTTTACAGGTGAAGACCAAGGAGGAATAAACCACCCCAAAAGGCCAAAAGGGCAGTATTCACAGAACCGAAAGCACAGGTGTCAAGTTCCACTGACTAAGCAATTTACCCCACTCCTGGACCAGAATACTACCTTAAAGATTTGGTGGTTCGGGTTAAGAACCAGAGGAAACCTACGCACCCAACTTCTTGGTAACTGCTCTGTAAAGACCCAGCTGTAAGCCAGTGTCCATCAGCTCAGACTTGATATTCCGGAGGACAGTATGTGATCCCGGCAAGGATTACTGTAAACAGCGCTTCCAACACAGGCCTTCAGACTGGCCATGGAAAAGGAGACAGGCTCGTTGGCCATCCAGACAGCAAACGAACAAACAAACTAAAAGGGAAGAAAACTTGGGTGAAGTCTCCAATTATCTGCAGTGGAAGACTTGAGTCCTTTCAGATAAGAAAATTATGGAAAGTCTTAGAGACTGTTACCGTATAGATACTACCTATTGGCCAAATGCACTTAATTTTAATACAGTTGAACCATTTGTATGCAAGTCATGAAGGACATGAAAAGCTGAAGCTACTGTCCCCTCCTGCCATCGTACAGGTGAATGTCAGCTACCAGAAGCATGGCATTTAACGCCAAGGGAGGGGCTGAGATTCTGAATTTAAGAATTGTACGTGGGTTTGTTCTACACCCCCACGGCTGTCCAGTTTCCGCCGGCTGCCTTGATTTTGGGTTTTGGGGACAAAATAGGACTCTTCTGAGAAGTTGTTCCACATTTCTTTTGGCCTCAAGATTAAAGAAAAAAAAAAAACTAAAGCAAAACGAGGCATTGAAATTGAAATTCATGTTTTATCCCCCCATTGAAATGAGGTGTGGGGGGAAAGAAGGCTGACCTTTTTTTTTTTTTTTTTGTCCTCATAATGAGTTCTGCTTTACTGGTAGCTAGGATCCCTTGTTACAAACACTTCTTGTTCAGGATTATATTCTTTGGGTTTATTGGAACAGGAAGTGCTGACGATGTCAAACGTGATCTCTGAAGAAAAAAAGGAATTGCAAGGGCTTGAGAGTTTAAACCAAGAAGGGAGCTCAGAGAAGTATTTTCAGCACAGGAATGAACAGTATTCTCAAATTTCAGAATACAGAGTTGCCCTCCCTCAGAAGAGGGCT